AACCTTCCTTCCGAGGAGTGGCTGGTGGGTTTGAACCGCCAGCCTTCTGGTGAGCAGTCAAGTGCCTTAGGCACTATGCTACCAGAGTTCCAATTCATAGCGGCCCCTATTGGGTTTCTGAGGCGATAAATCTTTATGGAAGTAAATTGCCCAGTCTTCCTTCCATGCAAAGTGGCTGGTGGGTTTCAACCACTAACCTTCTAATTAGCAGTCAGATGCCTTAGGCACTGTGCCACCAGAGCTCTTTGATGGTCCACAATACTTCCTATTATTAAAAACCTTGGGTTTATTTTGCAAGTTCAGTTTGTTTCTTCTTTATAGCTCACCCTATTCACACCCTCTCTTTCTTCCATGTCTTCATTCAGCCCTGTTATTCGTGTCTCAGTGTATTTTGATCTCTTGCATTACAAAACAAAAAGTAAATTTTTAAATTCAGAACTTAAGACTTATTTGTGATTTTACTCTGCTTACTAGATTACATTGAGGTACCTGAAACCTGTGTTTAGCCAATACGTTTTTTACAAAGGCAAATAAAAAAAGAAAGAGATAATTATGCTAAAATTTAAGAAGAGACCTATCTTGTTACCTTCACTTTCACAGAAAATAATACTGCCTCATACCCTGGTAGCGTAGTGCCTAAGGCACTTGACTGTTAACCAGAAGGCTGGCGGTTCAAACCCATCAGCCACTCCTTGGAAGGAAGATGGGGCAATCTACTTCCGTAGTGATACTGCCTCGGAAACTGAAGGACGGGTTGCTATGAGTCAGGTCCAACTCGATGGCACATAACAACAACAACAACAACATACTGGAATATGCCTAACTCTTCTCATTGGAGGAAATGGAAACTCGGCTGTGATTTCCAGAGCCATCCAGTCCCTCTCCTAGAGAGTTTGCTGGCTTTGCCAGTCCATCTGATTCAGTTAGTTTAGAAGAAAACAAAAGAACAAGTAACTACTATCAGAGTCAAATGATAATATATTTGCAATTATTAATCAATATCTAAGGTACAGCAGTTATGTTGTAAATTGTAGGAGGGTACAAATGACTTAAACATGGCCTTTAAGAGGGCCAGTAGAAAGTATTTCAAATACCAGTGGGATCATTCATGGTAGACAGGTTTCAGCAGGACTTCCACACTAACACAAACTTGGAAGAAGGAAGGGGCCATCCACTTCTCAAAGTATTGGCCAGTGAAAACTTTATGAATAGCAGTGAAACATTGTCTGATATATTACTGGAAAACTTCAGGAATAGCCCTGAAACATTGTCTGATATAGTGCCAGAAGGTGAGCCTCTCAGGTCAGAAAGCACTCAAAATACAACTGAGGAAGAGCTGCCTCCTCAAAGTTGAGTAACGCTTTGGGGATCTCCATTTGTTGATGTAGCATGACTTAAAATGGGAAGAAATAGCTGCAAACATCCATTAATAATTGGAACATGGTCTGTATGAAGACATTGAAAAATTGGAAATTTTCAAAAATGAGTTGGAGCACATAAAGATTGATATCCTAGGCATTAGTGAACTGAAATGGACTGGTATTGACCATTTTGAATCAGACAACCATATGATCTACTGTGTTGGGAATGACAAATTGAAGAGGAATGGTGTGGCATTCACCATCACAAGGAATGTTTTAAGATCTATCCTGAAGTACAGTGCTGCCAGTGATAGGGTAATATCCATATGCCTAAAAGGAAGACCAGTTAATACAACTATTACTCAAATTTATGCATCAACCACCAAAGCCAAAGATGAGTAAATTGAAGATTTTTACCAACTCATGCAGTCTGAAATTGACTGAACATGCAGTCAAGATGTATTGATTATTGCTAGTGATTGGAATGTGAAAGTTGGAAACAAAGGAGAATCACCAGTAGTTGGAAAATACGGCCTTGGTGATAGAAATGATGCTGGAGATTGCATGATAGAATTTTGCAAGACTAAGGCCTTATTCATTGCAAATACTTTTTTTCAACAACATAAATGGCAGCTGTTCATGTGGACCTTGCCATATGGAAAACAGGAATTAGAGCAACTATATCTGTGGAAAGAGGTAATAGAGAAATAAAGTCAGTATCATCAGTTAGAGCAACTCCAGGAGCTGACTGTGGAACAAACCATCATTGCCCAAATGCAAGTTCAGGCTTAAGCTGAAGAAAATTAAAACAAATACACAAAAGCCAAAATATACCTTTAATTATATTTCACCTGAATTTAGACAGCATCTGAAGAATAGATTTGATGCATTGAAAATCAATGACCTAAACCCAGATGAATGATAAATTTCGGGATAATATCAGGAACACTGATGGAATGAATACCCATTGAGATGTTTCAACAAACGGATGCTGCACTGGAGGCACTCACTTGGCTGTGCCAAGAGATTTGGAAGACAGCTACCTGGCCAGTTGATTGGAAGAAATTCATATTTGTACCCATTCCGAAGAAAAGTGATCCCACAGAATGTGGAAATTATTGAACAGTATCATTAATATCACCAGCAAGTAAAATCTTATTGAAGATAATTCAAGAACGGTTGCAGCAGTATATTGACAGAGAAGCCAGAAATACAAGCTGGATTCAGAAGAGGATATGGAATGAGAGATATCATAACTGATGTTAGATGGATCTTTGATGAAAGCAAAGAATACCAGAAAGATGTTTACTTGTGTTTTATTGATTATACAAAGGCATTCAGTTGTGTGGATCATAACAAATTGTGGAGAGCATTGAGAAGAATGGGAATTCTACAACTTGATTGTACCCATGAGGAATCTGTACATAGACCAAGAGGCTGTCGTTCAAACAGAGCAAAGGGACACTGCATGATTTAAAATCAGGAAGGGAATGTGTCAGGGTTGTATTCTTTCATCATACTTATTCAGTCTGTATACTGAGCAAATAATCCAAGAAGCTGGACTATATGAAGAAGAACGCAGCATCAGGATTGGAGGAAGACTTATTAACAAACTGCAGTATGCAGGCGACACAGCCTTGCTTACTGAAAATGAAGATGACTTGAAGCACTTACTGATGAGAATTAAAGACTGCAGTCTGCAGTATGGATTCAACTTCAACATAAAGAAAACAAAAATCCTCACAACTGGACCAATAAGCAGCATCACAATAAATAGAGAAAAGATTGAAGTTATGAAAAATTTTATATTACTTGAGTCCACAATCAACACCAATGGAAGCAGCAGTTGAGAAATCAGACGATGTATTGCACTGGGCAAATCTGCTGCAAAAGACCTCTTCAAAATGCTGCTGAGCAAAGATGTCTCTTTGAAGACTAAGGTGTGCCGGACCCAAGCCATGGTGTTTTCAGTGGTCTCATATGTGTGTGAAAGCTGGATAATGAATAAGGAATATCAAAGAAGAGTTGATGCTTTTGAGTTGTAGTATTGGTGAAGAATACTGAAAGTACCATAGAAGAACTAACATCTGCCGTGGAGAAAGTGCAGCTGGAATGCTCCTTGGAGGCAAGAATGGTCAGACTTCATCTCACCTACTTTGGGCATGTTGTAAGAAGGTACCATTCTCTGGAGAAGGATATCATGCTTGGTAAGGTGGAGGGTCAGTGAAGAAGGAGAAGGATTGACACAGTAGCTGCAATGATGGGATCCGTTATAGCAAGGATTGTGAGGCTGGTGCAGGACCAGGCAGTGTTTCGTTCTGTTTTAAGTGGGGTCGCTATGAGTCGGAGCCATTTTGATGGCACCTAACAACAACAGATAGATGAGGAGTCCATAGGTGGGGCAAATGCTTAACTTGCTCCTCTGCTAACTTAAAGGTTGGAGGTCTGAGTCCACCCAGATGTGCTTCAGAAGAAAGGCCTGGCAGTCTACTTCTGAAAAATCAGCCATTGAATACACTGTGGAGCATAGTTCTACTCTGACATACATGAGGTTGCCGTGAGTTGTATGTAATTGACTGTGTGGCAACTGTTTCGGAGTAACAAAGATTTAGGTGCCAGCGGTTTTAGTCAGCATGGTTTATGCATCATGAATGCAAATGTAAACAGAGTAAACAAGGCAAATAAAATTTTAGTGTTACTATGAAAATAGTTTTCAGTTTGTAGATTCCCAAAAAATGGTTCCAGCAACTGTCAGGAGTTGGAGGACTCCACACTTAACTACTGCCAATCATTACTAAAGAATCAGAACTGTAATATTTACTATTTTTGTGATCTTGGGCAAACAGTGGACTTCAGTTTCTTCTACCACATAAGGAATGGTTAGAATTGGTCCATTTAAGCTGTGTAATCTAATTATGTTTACTACAACAAATCCAAAATGTTCTGTCTAGCCACCCAAGTCCTCAATTTGAATCACACCACCTTTCAAATTGCATTTCACATTAAATCTACACAAGACAGTATCCTTTCTGTAAAGCACTTTTACTCTTCCTACTCCAAGTGTGGGCATGATCTGCAAAGTTGTTACAAATACACAATATAAGACCCTAGAAGTACTGCATCAGAATCTGTAGTTTAATGAGATCCTAGGCAGTATGTATACTCACTAGTTTAATAGAGAGTCCTTTATTCTCATTCCTGTCTTAACCCCAGGACTTCTAAACCTTGGTTGCTCATTGACATCAGTAAGGGAGTTTTTAAAAATCCTAATGGGGAAAGCAATTAAATAAGAACCTCTTGGGAAATTGGGTGTATGCGCTAAACCTTTCTTTATAGTTGTTAACACAGTTATATGTTACTTTGTTTTATAAAGTAAGATGTTATCATATGTTTAATAACAGTAGCTAGTGCTTTCTAAGTGGTTACAGTGGTCAGGCAATGTGTTCTTTATATCTTATTTAATCTTTACAACCTGCTACGAGAGAAGTATTTTTATTCCCATTTTATAGATGAATATACTGGTTTATTTTATAACATAGTAATTATTGATAGGAGCTCTGGTAGCATATAGTGCCTAAAGCACTTGACTGCTAACCAGAAGGCTGGCAGTTCAAACTCACCAGCTACTCCTCAGAAGGAAGGTTGGGCAATCTACTTACGTAGTGATACTGCCTTGGAAACCCAAGGAGGGGTCGCTATGAGTCGGGTCAGACTTAGCGGCACATAAGAACAAAAACAACAGCAACAGCTATTGATAGATATAACCCACAGAAACAAAAAAGCTCTTTGGGCTTCTCAGCTTTAAAGGTAACTTTAGACTGAATTGTTTGAGAAACTCTAGTTTACCTATTCTGCTTAGTTTGCCTTTTGCCTCCATTTGGTAAACTCCTTCCTCTGCTATATTATTTATCACTATGAAATTTATAAAATTGCAGATCATCTTTCATTGTTACAATCCAACAAAAAAACTATTGACCACTTTGTGTCAGGTACTGGTAATGATACAAAGATAAGGCTCAGCTTCTAATCATTTCAAAATAAGATTAAGGAATGTCTAAAGTATTTATGAGTTAATTTTAAAACACCCCTATTAATGTATGAAATACACCTCTATTTCCAAAACAGACCAAAATATTAATTAATTAACTCAGAATTTGAAAAAAACTTTTTTTTTTTGCTCTAGCATACAAATTTCAAACTTTTAATTTCCTTCTCACTTTATTTTTTACTGTTTTATCAGCAGCTGATTCTCATATTGTTGGAAATACCAGCAATACGAAAGAATGACATACAGCAAGTTGGAAGAATTTCAGATGCGTTGTGCTTCATGAAACAAGCCAGATTCAAAACATCACATGCTACATAAAAAGACAATATAGTGTATAAACTGAAATGTGACATTTTAGAAAAGACATAGGAGCCCTAGTGGCATAATGGTTAAGTTCTTATCTGCTAGCTAAGGTCAGTCATGAGAACCTGCTAGTGGCTTCCTGGGATAAAAAAAACAGCAATCTGCTCCCTTAAACATTATAGCCGTGGAAACCATATGGAGTAGTTCTACTCTGTCCTGTAGGGTCACTATGAGTCAGAATCAATTGGCTGACACAGAAGACTATAGTGACATCTAATTGTTAGTGGCTGTCAGGGAGCAGATGGGGAGAGGATTTTAGTACAGTGGGGCATAGGGAAATTTCTTGGGGGGTGACACTGTTCTTTTACTTGGATTGTGATGGAGAATTTGGAAGCTGTGAAACAAGTTAGGTAATTTCATTACTCCATTCCAGGCTTCTGAACTAGAAGAATAAACTAGAAAGGAAGTAACCAACAGGTCTGTTGAAAAGATTTGGAATGGCAATGCAAGGCTTCACAGAGTTTATTTAGAACCCGTACCATTACCAAACTAAACCAAACCTATTGCCGTTGAATCAGTTCTGACTCATGATCCTATAGGACAGAGTAGAATTGCCTCATAGAGTTTCCAAGGCTGTAAATCTTTATGGAAGCAGACTGCCACATTCTTTCTCCTGTGGAGCAGCTGGTGGGTTTGAACCACTGACCTTTTGATTAGCACCTGAGTGCTTTAACCTCTGTACTGCCAGGCTCCTCATTTAGAACGGTGGTTCTCAAATTTGGTTTATATTGGAATCCTTTAAGATATTTAAAGTACTGATGCCTAGTGGGGTCTCATCCTTTGATGGACTGAATTAATTCTGGGGAAAGGCATAAGGGTGTTATTTGAAAACTCTCTAGATGATTCCAGCACATAGCCAAGACAGACCTATTGATTTGGTATCTGTCTGCAATATCCCATAATTGAGTAGAGCAGAGGTTCACAAAGAATTGTTCTGGGCTAACAGCAGCATCACCTGGGAACTTGTTACAAAAATCTATCTGAAGACCCTATTCCATACCACTTGAATCAGGAAATATGAGGGTAACAGCCAAACAGTCTCTCTTTTAACAAGCTCTCTTGGTGATTCTTAATGCTTACTAAAGTTTGAGAATGATGAATAAAGTCCTATCCCGTGTTAATTACTAGAAAGGCTCTGGTAACTCTTAAGAGTACCTGGTTGATTAGAGATGTTATCCTCAATACCTCAGAGTGTACTTGTTTCATTGGAAAGCTCTTTGCACATGTAGCCATTTTCAGTATTCATTTCTGTTTGCCATTTAAAATTTGAATTAAATATATTCACACAACTTAGTGATGATTGGTAGTTAAGGAGCTCTGGTGGCATAGTGCCTAAGGCTTTTGACAGCCAACCAGAAGGCTGGTGGTTGAAACCTATCAGCCACTCGTTGGAAGGAAGATTGGGCAATCTACTTCTATAGAGATACTACCTCAGAAACCCAAGGAGGGGTCACTATGAGGCGAATCCAACTTGATGTCAGTGATGAGTTTGGTTTAGTTTTGCATTGGTAGTTAATCTTTAGCTGAATACTACTCTTGAACTGTTTTAGTAAGGCAGAAGCTCATTTCAATCCAAGTTAATGTTCTATGATGCTTCAGTAATATGTCTAGGATAGAATACTGTCTAGTTGTATATCTTTTAGATTGGAGAAATCTATTTGGAGGAAGTATTCAAAACTGGCTTTAATATTATGTGAAACTATTTATGATTGCACTGTGTTTCATTAGGATATGAATAAGTGACTACTGTTTTAATAACTTTTTTCTATTTGTGTGTTTGTGTGTACACATGCCTAAGTGAAGTTGCACTATGTTTGTGAAATAGGCTTTGAAAAATTCTAAATCTGAACTAGTTTATAAGGCGTTAGTCAGTAGTCTTTCCTTATATGGCTAGAAGATAACAACATAAAAATAAAAAAGAACTATTTTTTTTTAAAGTTTCAAATACATTAACATCACTTTTAGAAAATACTTAGGGTAGTAACAAAACTCTTTTTTTTTGTTCTATTTCAGGCTATTTTGGCATTCTGCTGGATATATGTTCGTAAATACCAAAGTCAGCGTGAAAGTGAAGTTGTCTCCACCATAACGGCAATTTTTTCTCTGGCTATTGCACTTATCACATCTGCACTTCTACCAGTGGATATTTTTTTGGTTTCGTACATGAAAAATCAAAATGGTACATTTAAGGTAATTATTATTGTATAATACGATTTTTTTTCCTTTCAGATTATTGTCAATTAAATGTTTAACAGCCCAGAATATATTGTATTTTATGTTTGGCTCTGGGGAATAAATGAGAATGGAAATGCAGCATAGAGGCTGAGATTGTGATGACTGTTCTGGAGAACTAGAAGCAGTCAACAATTTACTACATAAGAGCTATTAGTTCAGCATCCTTCCAAATGTGAAGAATGTTTTTTGTTAATTTGAAAATATTTTATGTAATCATAATAGATTTTATTTTTGTGCCTTTTCATTGTAGTTCCCTTGAAGTTTATTAGACATGAGAAATTTTTGACTTGATTTATATTAATACTTCTAATTTAGAGGAGCTTTTGTTGGTGCCAGAAGCCCTGGTGGCATAGTACCTAAGGCATTTGACTGCTAACCAGAAGGCTGATGGTTCAAACCCACCAGCCGCTCCTCGGGAGGAAGACTGGGCAATCTACTTCCATAGAGATAATACCTCAGAAACCCAAGGAGAGGTCTATGAGTCAGAATTGACTTGACAGCAGCAAGTTTTTTTTGTGTGTGTGGCAGATCAAACTCTTCATCTCAGTTTTATATTGAGTATTTTGAATCAGTATGTGTTTTGATAGCCTCTTCTTCATCCTATTGATAAAAGGAGGATATGCTCTAGGTTATGAAGATGGTGTCACCTGACACTGGGCAAGTGAGATCTACAGCAGTTTATCAGTCACATATATGCATATGCATGGCCCCAGAGGAGGAGGACACCACATACCACACAGAGCCACATGGGAGTTTCACTCGGGAATAGGGTGAACAGTCAGGCTGTAGAGTCAGGCTTTTTAGTTTCAAGAGGATGTAATTGGCTTGTTTGAATAATTCTGCATGCTGGCAGGGAGCTGAAGTCCACTACTCTGGGATAAACAAGAACTGTGCATGGTCCCAAGGATAAGGAGGGGTTGTTTGGCTAGATGACTTTATTCTCTGGAACTCACTGGAGAGGGGAGCTTAGATTAAGGAATGCAAAGCCTTCTAATTTTAGCAGATGTCAAGGCAATACATAATATTGAACCTTAGTTTTAGGTCTTATACCACAGTATATGGTATAGTGGAAAGAGATCACCATGTTGAGAATTTAAAACTTGAGTTCTAGTTTTGACTTTTAACTATCTAGCTGTGTAGCTTTGGCCAAATCACTTAACTTCTCCGGACCTCAGGTTCCTCATTTTTAAAATTAAAGATGTGGATTGGAGGGTTTCCAAGTTCCTTTTTAGTTATGCAAATTGCTTTTAAAGTTTCTTACCGGCTTAAACTTCTATGAGTCAGGAACTTTGTTTTGTTTGTTCTTATATCCCCAGTGTCTAAGTAGGTACTTAAATATTTGAATGAAGTAGTATTATTTCAGTTATCTCAATAATGCGTGTTCATAAATAACTTTCTGGATTTGGAAAACTGGCTTAAATAGTTTGATAATATTTTTGTAGTAAGGTTTAGATATATTCTGACGTTAAAACTAAAGTTATTTTTTGTTGGTCAGTCATTCATATATTAAGTGTTAAATTGAACACCTGGTATGTACCACATATTTTGCTATTATCAAGATAGTAGCTAACATCTGTTGAATACTAACTGTGTGTTAGAGCTTGTCCTAAGTGTCTTACAGATATGAACTCTTTAATTTCCTAAACAACCCTGTGAGATAGATAGTATTATCCATGTTTTTATGGATGAGAAACCAAGGTTCAGAGAGGTGAAGTAATTTTTATGTAAGGTCACACAACTAGTAAGTATTGTAGCTGAGATTTGAAGGTTGACAGTCTGGTCCCAGAGCTCTTTCTAACCTCTAAGGGAGTATAAGATAAATTCAGGTAGCTCAGTGAATAGAATTTCTACAAGTGAATCTACATTATTTTTCTTTAAGCTTGATTTACACTTTGTGTTTTAGGCAGAAACATTGTATAGGGAAGATGGCTATTTTCAGTGGTATCATGGGGTTTCCTCTGCTTTTTAGTATTGAGCAAGAAGTAATATGTGTTTAATATTTTTGGATATGGAAAATTAATGGTTGATCTTAATATTATATAAGATCATTTCCTTTAAGAAATAAAAATGCTTTTTTAGAATTAAAAAATTCTATACAAATGTTTATTTAATTTCTTATGGCTCTGTGTATAGCTGTGTTTCTTTGATAAAAGATTGTCAGTGTGTCAGAGTATTCTTTTTATTTTAAAATAAATTAAAAAAAACAAAACTGACTGCTGTTGAGTGAATTCCAACTCATAGTGACCCTGTAGAAGAATAAAAGTGTCCCATAGGGTTTCCAGGTAAGGGGAAGGCAGAGAAGTTTCACACAGCTAATGGATACAAACTTGTCTGTCAGTTTGTCCTACTGTGGTGGCTTACAGATTGCTGTTTTTTCTTGACACTGTGCCACCTGTGTTTCAGATGCCAGCAGGGTTGCTCATGGTACTCATGTTTCAGCACAGCTTATAGATTGAGACAGACTAGGAAGAAGGAAGAGGTCATCCACTTCTCAAAGAATTGGCCAGGGAAAACCTTATGAATAGCAGAGAAACATTGTCTGATACATCACTAGGCAATTTTATGAATAGCCCAGAAACACTGTCTGATACAGTGCAGGAAGTTGAGCCCTTTAGGTCGGAAGGGACTCATGATACAATTGGGAAAGAGCTGCCTCCTCAGAGTAGAACAGCCTTACTGCTGTGGATAAAGTAAAGCTCTTGGGACCTCTGTTTGCTGGCATGGCACAACTCAAATTGAGGAGCAATAGCTGCAAACATCCATTCATAATCGGAACATGGAATGTACGAAGTATGAATCTAGGAAAATTGGAAGTTATCAAAAATTAAATGGAATGCATAAAGATTGATATCCTAAGAATTAGTAAGCTGAAATGGACCAGTTTTGGCCATTTTGAATCAGACAAACATGATCTACTATGCCAGGAATGATAATTTGAAGAGAAATGGTGTGGCATTCATCATTACAAAGGATGTTTCAAGCTCTGTCGTGAAGTACAATGCTGTCAGTGATAGGATAATATCCATACACCTGCAAGGCAGACCAGTTAATACTACTGTTATTCAAATTTATGCACCAACCATCGAACCAAAGATGAGGAAATTGAAGATTTTTATCAACTTCTGCAGTCTGAAATTGACCAAACATGCAATCAAAATGTGTTAATTATCATTGGTCATTGGAATGCAAAAGTTGGAAACAAAGAAGAACCACTGGTAGCTGGAAAATTTGGCCTTGGTGACAGAAAAAAACTCTGGAGATCACATGATAGAATTTTGCAAGACCAATGACTTATTCATTGCAAATAACTTTTTTCAGCAACCCAAATGGCGGCTATACACATGGACTTCAGCCGATGGAGTACACAGGAATCAGATTGACTACATCTGTGGCAAGAGGCGATGGAAAAGCTCAATATCTGCAATGAAAACAAGGCCAAGAGGTGATTGTGGAACAGACCATTAATTGCTTATATGCAAGTTCAACTTGAAGTTGAAGACAATTAACACAAATTCATAAGAGCCAAAATATGACCTTGATTATATCCCTCCTGAATTTAGAGACCATCTAAAGAATAGATTTGATGCATTGAACATCAATGACTGAAAACCAGAAGAATTATGGGATGACATCAAGAACATCATCCATGAAGAAATCAAGGTCATTAAAAAGATGAGAAAGGAAGAATAGGCCAAAATGGATGTCAGAAGAGACTCTGAAACTTGCCCTTGAGTGGAGAGTAGCTAAAGCAAATGGAAGAAATGACA